TATGATTCGAGCGGGGAGGGAGGGTGGGAGGGGTGTCGGATGAAAGCAGCTCGTCCACCTCCGCCTCCTCCTTGAACTGCACTGCACTGCTTTTCCCAGGAATTTGCCTCCCTTAGACTAAACGGCGCAAGGGCGGGCAAGCTGAATAAAAGCAGAGCAAGGCTCTTTGGCTCGCACTTTGGCGACGCTCGCGGACGTACGTACTTTACGTACCGTACGTTCGTTCCACCGCGCCAGCAGAGTGTCCCCCGCGGCGCACAAAGGAAGCAGGCGAAGCAGGCGACTGCAAAAGCGACCGAGTGGAGCAAGCGAGAGCGGCGGACTCGCGGCCGGTCCTGTCGCCGTTTCGCAAGGACCGGGCGGGGCGGGGCCGCGGGCCACAGCAGCAGGCAGCTTGCGGACCGCTCGCTTGGCGCAAATCATCATAATTATACCGGCGCTGCTAAAGCAATGGCGCTGCCAGCTGCACTGCCAGCAGAGAGGAGGAGCTCCCCCGGGGCAGCAGCGTCAGGACCATCACGGCGCAGGTGCAGCGCGCAGCGCATCGCATCGCGCTCACACCACCAGTGGCGGAGGACCATCACGATGCCGATCCAGCCATACAGCCACCTCAAAACCAATACGCCATACTTTCACTGGCCTCCCAGGACGCGACACGCCGCCAACGCCGCCGTAACCTTCGCGGCCTCCTTTTCCTCCTCCTCCTGCTGCTGCCGCCGCCGCCGCTGCACGTCCTTGCCGAACGTGGCCTAAAAACGCGTGGCCAGGCCGGGCGGGGCGGGGTGCGGGGCGATGGGCCGGGCTGCGGGGCGGCGGCGGCGGCGTTAGTGGTTGCGCAACGCCTAGGTAAAGGCCCCTCGGCGCCTTCGCGGGCACCACCACCAGCAGGTCCGCCAAGGTCTAGGACCAACAACAGCTGTGCGCGGCGGCGGTGCGCAAGCAAGAGAAGGGAGGGCGACCGACGGCGCCCGCGAGAGAGGAGGAAGACGACAGCAACGTCATGCAGGCGGGAGCTTCTCCGGGGGCCTCCGCACCTGCAGCGGCGGCAGGCGCGGCCGCGGCGCGGCGGGGCGTAGGAATGCCCATTGGCCGACATACATGTCCCCGCGAAGTAACGGGGTGGCGCCCCGGGGGAAAGGGGGAGGAGGGGGGCGGCAGTGTTGCGTCGTGTCGCGTTGCGTCGGGCAGGAGGGGCGTTGGGGCGGG